CTTCAATTTCTTGCAGTTGGCAGCCCAACGTTTTGTCCATTTCACCACTCAAGGACTCATAAATATGCATGTGTGTGTGTGTACTGAGCACTGTATAGATGATACAAGAATGCAATAATCTTAACCTAAATATTTTGGAACTGTATGGTTACAGTTAATTTTATCAAGATAATGTCTTATGACTTGTTATGGCTGAAAATGGCAAGGGAAGTTTATCAGGAATACATATCCTTCCAGTATCTGAGAGATGTATAAAAATATAATGTAGGGTTAGGAATGGTGTTTGTTTGGTGCCTTTACAGACTCTGGCCATCGTCAAGGCCCACGGCCCCACAGTGAGTCTCCTGCTACACCGGGAAGATTTACGTGAATATGCCCTGGACCAGGTGCCCTGGCTCCTAAACCAGTACAAAGACAAAGAAATTGATTTCCATGTCACACAGGTAAGAGCCACACCCTAAAAGACTTGCTTCCTAAGGCCACTTGCAACCATTCAGGATGATACTACATCCCAGGAAGATTCATAAACATAAACCTTTATTTAGGCAGTTGAACTGAAACAGCTGAGGGGGGATAGGAAGTAAATGTTTATTCCAAGCTGCTGAAACAATGACACAAAGTGATGCTTGGGGGGAAGCATGCCATTGACTGGATTCCAACTCATGGCAGCCCTAAAGGACAGAATGGAACATGATTACGTGTTTCCTAGGCTGTCACATTTACAAAGCAGGTCACCAGGATTTTTCTCCTTTGGAATGGCTGGTGGGTTCCAGCCAGGAACTTTCAGTTAGCAGCCAATCACTTCACCACCAGAGCTCTGGAAGCAAGGTGGAAGGGTCAGAATTATTAGAGAAAACTCATAACTCCATGAAGGCTATGGATTTGTTCTCCTCACAAAGCATCAGTTCATTGTCTGCTTTCCACCCAGTGTGCTGGTACTTTATGGGCAGCCTGAAACTAACCTTTGAGGCCTTTTCTTTAGAGTCTAAGACAAATACTGAGTGCAACTGTCCTTTATGATATTTGCCTTCCAAAGCACTTGAGAAGATCCATCTGTCTCAACTTGCTCCAGCAGGTAAGAAAACCACGATGTCTCATTGTTGACTTTTAACTGGTTTTCCTTTTTCACGTCTACAGCCTAATATTCCCTCCCTATTCAGGTTTGCAGAGTCCCAGAGCCTCCAGAGAAAGAAAATGAACTTGAAGCTTCAAGCTGTTTTCTTATTTTAGGTAGGACCCAGCAACCTGAGAGTTTTTCAGAGAAATATCTAGGCGGGATCTCCAAGTGATAATAGTAACCATGGTGAAGGGCGTACACATCTTGGCTTTCGTGACTTACACACACATGTAAAATGGTCTTTCAGTGCCTGTTCCTACCCCACATGTTCCCAGGAAGGTAGGAATGTGTGAAGCGACAATCACCCTAGTTTGCCCAGGATTAGATAGAGGAGAGTCTCTAATCCTAAAAAGTCTTGGGCATACTAACGTGAGATGGATCCCTATGGATACTACCTATTTTGGTTTGGTTTTGTTTTTCCTGGTATTTGAGATTAAGACTGTGTCAAACTCAAAGTCACCTTTTTGACCATCCATCAAGCAACCCTCCTTTTCTCTCTATTTTTTTTCTTGCTCTTGCAACACAATTCTCCCCCAGATCTGATAAATTTTCTGATCCAGGTGACCTAGCAGGCACCAGGCTTATAGAGTCAGGAGACAAAATGGTGGCCCAGCATGCACTGAAGACAAAAAACAGCAGCCACCATTCCAGTCCTGAAGCCTGACAAACCACACTCCCCTCAAATATGACATTTCTACCACTTCATTGCATTTCTATTATGTTCTAATTCTCCCCTTCACTGACCCTTCTGCTTCCATACTTCCTGCTTTCTTATGCTCCAAACTAATGAGCTTTTCCCTGGTAATTTCCAACACAAGTACATTTGCTTCAACCAAGTATTTGGTCACTCCTCCCTGTGCCCTGCCCTACACCCCTCCATCAATCTTCACTTTGCAGCTGGGTCTCTACTTATAAAAACTGTCCGTTTTCATCAAGTTCCATGTTCTTCAGGAAAATCCAACTTTAAAAAATAATAACAGCAACAGCTTTCATTTATCAACCAGCTGATGCCTACAAGGCCCTGTCATATATCATTTGATTCTATGTATGAAGAAGCTGTTTATGCACAGATTTAAATATTGGGTCCAGACTCAGAGAATAGCAAGAGTCAAATACTGGACTTGCTGAATTTAAACCACCAGTGCCTCTGGGCCTTTCCCTCCTGATGCTGCTAAGGTCCTTTGGGACTTGTTTTCTTCACCATTTGCTTGAGGATTTAATGTTAGAATGACAACCGCAATGGTATCATGGCCTTTCTCGGCAAGGTCAGGGGTATGAATCCCGCAGTCCATAGGTCATGGCACCCTACTGACTTGAAGGGCAGATTAGTACAAGGGAGCACAGCACATTAGAGGGTCGGCTCTTTCTCCTTCATCGAAGTCACTTTCAGAAAACGTGAGCCGAGGTATAGAAATCCCTCCCAGTGACCAAGTTGCCTAATCAATTCTGTCGTACTGAAGAAGACTGCCACCATGAGATCAAATTGCCAATCTCAAAATTACTTTTAATAACCCTCCTGGAGTCCCCTCTTCCCACTTACAGGTGTTTTGCTTAAGATAAAATGGAGTTCTTATCACTTCAATGTTTCTTAAATCCACAGCCCACTCCAACCCCGCAGACCTGGTGGAATTTTTTGATGAACAAATAAGAAGCAATAATGAAGCTATCCGAATGGGGGTCTTATCTTTATTAAGATCAACTGTCCATGCTGAGGGTAAGCCAGAAGGAAAACGTCACAGTGGTTTATTTTGAACCAAGAAACAAACTGTGGCCAATGCCTTTTCTAGTCCCAACCTGTATCTCTGAGATGTTCACACCACTTGGCCTCTGAAAACAGGCCTGTTCAGTTAACTCGCTTGCTTCATGTTTGTTGTGGAAGGACCTCTTTAAGAAGGTTAAACGGAATCCTTGAGAATCAACTGAATAATTTAGAATATCTCTAGTAAATTGGTGAAATGACAGCCCCCTCCCCCCAAAAAAGCAGAGGTAGGTAAGGTTGCACAACATGTGAGAGATTTGTACAGTTCGGAAGAGCACAGTTTCAAGAAATTCCAGGTTTCATTGATTCTGAGAACCATGTGTTTTTGTAACATTGGAATGAATTTTAAGCAGACAACATCTTTAATTTTCATTTTCAGTGAAACATAAAATAAGTGTGCATTTAAAAATTGATGATATCTTGGATTCAATAAAACATGGTAATTCACTTTGCACAGTATGATAGGCTGTCGCTGTGAAGTGTCCTGGAGTTGATCCTGACTCGCAGCAACCCAGCGTACACCAGAACAAACACTGCTGAACTCTGCGCTGCCTTCATCGCTGTTCTTATATTTCAGCCCATCGCTGTGGCCACTGTGTCAATCCATCTTGTCAAAGGCCTTCCGCTTTTTCACTACCCCTCCTCTTTACCGCGCATGATGGCCTTCTCCAGGGACTGGTCTCTCCCACTACTAACATGTCAAAGTATGTGAGACAAAGTCTTCCCATCCTTGCCTCCAACGAACATTCTAGCTGTACTTTTCCAAAACAGACTTGATAGAGATTTCTCAAGTTCAGTTAGCACTGAGATTTATTGAGGAATCAGCATAGATAAACAAAAATGCAATCTCATAAAATTTAGAGCTGATCAATTGGGCCTGGGGGAACTAATCCACTTTGGAACCCACCATTTTAAACAAAATTCACAGGTAACAAATGAAACAACAAATATTCTTGACGTTTAAGAAAAGAAGAAGACAGGAAAAAAGTGAATAATGGGATTTTAAGGACAAAAGACCATGCATTGGGCCGCTGAACACAAAGTCGGCAGCTCAAAACCAGAACATGGCTTTCTACTCCTCTAAAGTCAGAATCATTTCAGCAGCAGTTGAGTTTGGGGGGGTTTTTTTTGGACAATGCAAAACTTTTCCGTTATATACCAAAACTAATTTATTTTTTTAATCATTCTTAGAATAAATATACTACTATTGTTTTTGCTACTTGACATTCAATTGGTTCCAACTCATAGAGTCCCTATGTACAACACTTCCCAGTCCTGCACCATCCTCACAGTTGTTATGTTTGATGCTGATGTTGCACCCACCGTGTCAATCCATCTGATGTTGCACCCACCGTGTCAATCCATCTGATGTTGCACCCACCGTGTCAATCCATCTGACTACTTGTACTGATCTGGTCTCTCCCTGTCCCCCGCCTTTCAGAGCCCAAGTTGAGAGAATACGTGACTTCAATTGAAAGAACAGTCAAGTTTGTCACAAGTGATCACAGCGTCAAAGTAAGAGAATTGATAGATGTTTTATTTGGTTAATGGTAGTTTTAATCAGTGAGATGGGATTGGTTTATAAACAATCTAATTCTATAAGCAGCTTATGAGCTTACTTCCTAAAGAACACAATAACCAATTCTATTTTTTTCAATGCTGTATTTCCCCAAAAGATAAACTCTACCAAAGTAAAGCTCTAAAGTACATTCAGTTTAGGGCCTGTTCAATATAAAATAAATGTTTGCCTATGTCATCACCATGACATTTTCTTCAAATAGGTCAGTAATTAAGTGGTAATTTTAAAGACAATCTATCTTCCCTAAGTACTGAAAACAGGGTACCTTGGACACCCTATTTTCCAAAAAGGAAGCTGTTCTTATAAGTCCTGCCAGAGCAGTCGCTCAAATACTTTCTGGTAAAAATCACTCAAATAGCTGATGTTAGAAAAGATATAAACTTAGGCTGAGACAAATCAAAGAGTCATTTGCTGTGTGTATGTGTGTACTTTTGTTGTTTTTAATGAAAATCACACTTTGCTTTGAATGAAAGCCCTACAGAGAAGTCAATGAGAAGAAGGCAAAGCCCTGAAGAGAATTTGATTATTTGTGACTATGCATGAAATAACAAAAAAACAGGCAGCAAAAACAATAGAGTAATTATTTATAATCATTACCCAAAAAATCTAGTAACTTACCAATTCAATAGAAGTAATAAGACAAGAGCCGAGGGTAGCGTAAAAGAGCACGGGGATTTTAAGAAAAGCCAACTCCCTAGGCATCTACTACCACATGCCCCTGCCTTCCTGACCAAAGTCATTCTTTTTGTTTGCTTGTTTAATCATTTTATTGGGAGCTCTTACAGCTCTTAGCACAATCCATACGTACATCCATGTGTCACGCACATTTGTACATATGTTGCCATCATCATTTTCAAAACATTTTCTTTCTACTTGAGCTCTTAGTATCAGCTCACTGCCCTCCCTTCCTCAATGCACCCCCACCATGATCCCTTGATAATTTATAAATTTATTATTTTTTTCATGTCTTACACCAACCACTGTCTCCCTTCACCCACTGTTCAGTTGTTCATCCCCCAGGGAAGGGGTTTTTTGTAGATCATTGTGATCAGTTCCCCCTTCCCTCCCCTACTTTCCTCTTACCCTCCTGATATCGCTACTCTCATTATTGGTCCTGAAGGGTTTATCTGTCCTGGATTCCCTTTGTTGCAAGCTCTGGTCTAGCCAGATTTGTAAGGTGGAACTGGGGTCATGATAGAGGGGAGGAGGAAGCATTAAGAGCCAGAGGAAAGTTGGATATTTCATTGGTGACTGTTAACTCTTTTTTGTTTTTTGAGCTTTCTGAGCCCATGTTCCTTTT